AGCATCTTGTTATTGGTTACCTAAGCACCCAACAAGTTTCATGTTGCTACTTCTAATACTACCTTCCCCACATAATTACCACGTCGTTTGTGCTTGTGTTTTGACACATGACATGTTATCTTATACATGGTGCTCTTAGGTGTTGGGACTGTCTACCTTCTGTTCACATTTCAATACATAAGAATTTAGTATCATGTTGATACCTTGGGAATATAACTTTACTTATAATTTCTAACTCATGTATCTTGTTTTTGCACCAAAGTATAAAACTTTATTTGACTATAGCATAGACGTCCAGAGGGTTGATATTTGTTGGGACTGTCTACCTTCTGTTCACATTTCAATACATAAGAATTTAGTATCATGTTGATACCTTGGGAATATAACTTTACTTATAATTTCTAACTCATGTATCTTGTTTTTGCACCAAAGTATAAAACTTTATTTGACTATAGCATAGACGTCCAGAGGGTTGATATTTGAATGATGGTCCTAAATTTGATCGTCTTTCATTCTTGTTGTTATCTTCTGTTCTACCATGTTTTTTCCCTCACACCATCTAACCTTCACTTTCTCCGATTTTCCAAAATGTAGAAATCATTCAATTCACGAGATATCTAACCTTCACTTTCTCCGTTAAGGACCGATGAATTATGGTTTGATGTCCAAAGTTTTAGAATTCTTCTTACTATTTTTATTTAATAATCACTAGCAGTCATGTGTCTTGGATTCTAGAGATTATATATGATTTCATTGACATTTTATGTTCTGTTTCATTAAGCCATACTCATGCGTCCTTTAACAGTTGCTCCTTAGAGTAAGGAATTTGCCAGTGAACTGGTAGTTATGACAGTAAGGAATTTGCATTTAAGTTTTTTTATTATGTTCAATGTGTAAATATCTATTCAAACAAGAGCAGCAAACTATATGTATGAGAATGTATGCATTGTCTTATGTTAAAGTTTCTCCTTTTGATACAAAGTAACACCCTACTTTTGTCATGACTTGCTGCTGTTATTTATCACAAAGGCTCTTGTTCACTAGACGATATTACTTTGACATGAGAGTTTATTATCAATTGAATTCACTTAACAGTTTCCAGTTTGTCGTCTTTGTGGCTAACAGGTTGCATTACAATCACTCTACATGGACAAGCACTCTACAAGTCCTATTGCTCAAGAATTCGGGAGGCTTGTCAATCTTTGACGCCATTAGTACCTTTTGTCATCAACTATTTGTAATTAATGATACAAATTTGAGATTGTTGTTTCTAGTTTTCTTGATGTAATCTGTTTTTGAGACTTTATGTACTTGGGTATGCAAGAGGAAGTTTGTAAATTAACGCTTTTAGCGCTCAAGGGGAAATGGAAAAATAGACTTTTATGTTGATGTGAATGGAGCAAATTTTTTGTGGATGTTCAGATTCAGTGTAGGCTTGAATTTGATAGAAAATATATTACTTTTGGCGATGCAAATTAGTGTCGATAAGCGTCAGTAAAAGTAACACTTTTGTCGACGCTATATTTCGTCGCTAAATGTAACACTTTTGCCGACGAGATATTTTGTCACCAAAAGTAATATCTTTTAGCGACGCAATCTTGCGTCGCCAAAGATGTAGTTTTTAGCGACGCTCTATTATGCGTCGCTAAAAGCTACACTTTTGCCGACGCAATCATGCGTCGCCAAAGATAAGATTTTTAGCGACGCTATATTCTGCGTCGGCAAAAGTATACTTTTGCCGACGCATTGCCCTTTGCCGACGTTAAGTACGTC